ATTTAAATTATAAGCATCATAGCTAATACTAAAATTTAAGGTTTTTAATTAAAAAATTACTCAACTCTATAAAAGGCGCTCATCAAGTTCATAAAGTCTCACACGGAAATGTGCATAAGCACATTTCTATTGCTCCAACAATTTCAGCGGCAGGTGACTATATTCCTCTATTAATTATTTATAAAGGTGTTCGTATGATTTCTGGTCTATTAGCTAGAAGTTCAGCTGGTGCTGTTATGGGTTTTACTGATACTGGGTACATGCGGGAAAGCCTCTTCCAAATGTATATTGAACACTTCATTAAGTCAATTTCGCCTATTCGTCCAGTCCTATTAATACTTGATGGCCATAAAAGCCATGTAAATTATACAAATGTTAGATTCTGTCATGAGAATGGGATTCTACTTTATGCAATTCCTCCACACACAACACATATCCTCCAAGCATCTGAACTCCCTTTTGCAAAACTTAAAAGAGAGTATAATAAAGGTTGTGATGAGCAACATAATACTAAGGGAGAAGTAGTAACCAAGTATACATTCGCTAAGATTCTTGGGCCAGCATTCGCTACAACCTACACTCCTGAGGCAATTATTAATGCCTTCAGAGCCACAGGAACTTGGCCTTTAAACCCTAATGCCATTAGCCCTGAACATCTTGCCCCATCATTAGTAACAGAATGTGAGGTCGCTCAGCCAACCAAAGAAGAACCATCATCTCCCAAAATTGTTCTCTCCTCTTCTCAACCTACCCGTAAATACTCCACTAGAACTGGTGTTGCCAAAGAAGTAGAGATATTGAAAGCAGATGTTATATCTCTTGGAAAAGAAGTCGAATTATTAAAAAAAGAAAATGAATCAATTAAGAGAAGTTATAAATTAATAAATGAAGAACTAGAGACCTTTAAAAATCCCAGTACCTGTCCTTTGAAAATAGCACTTAAATATCCTACTTCTCGGCTTTCATCACAAACCAACGAACAAGAAACTTGTGAAGTTGTTGAATCTCAATCCCGGCCTATAAAAAAGAGGAAAACAATGCCCTTTGCCCGCCTTCTTACTAATGATGATTCTTTGCGAGAGTTAGAGGCTGCAGAAGAAGCTGCTAAATCTAAAGCTGAAAACATAAAAAGAAAAAAAGAGATTGCAGCCCAAAAAAAAGTAATGCGTGAGTTAGAGAAAGCAGAAAAAAAAGCTGAAAGGGAGCGTAAAAAGGAAGAAAAAATACAAAAAAAAAAAGATAAAGGAAAGGGTAGAGCTGATTAAGTTTTTTTTTTTGTGAATGGTGACTAGTGTGTGCTTAGTGAAAGCATATTATTAAGAGATTATCTATATCAATATATTAATAGTATATTAATGTTAATGATTGTCGTGTTCGTCAAAATACCCTCTGGGGTATGTTAATTATTGTTGCGTAAAGAGGATTGCATAATTCATATAAAACTTGTATTTTTTTCGTTCTATATTGTGAAACACATCGGAATCTTCGTAGTTCTGAAAAAAAAAAATAAAAAGTTAAGGTTTCTACAGACTTTTATTGTGCGCAGTGTTAACTTCGTCAAAATACCCACATCTACTTTATATACTATTCAATTCGTCACAATGAAACTAATCGAATGATATAAAAATCAGTTGATTCGAATCGTCGGATCACGAGTTATAATAAATTCGCCGCGATAACATCTTTACTTATATTTCTTGTTTTTTTTTCAGTTTTATTTAATTTACCAGCTATTTAGTAACCGATTTTATCGAACGTATAGTCGGAATTTTACTCGTCGCAGTGTGATCGTACTGGTTCTGTGCCGCGTCACGCGCTGCGCAGCTACCCTAATTTTATAGAAAAAATAAAAAATGGTTACACTAAACGAAAAAATTCGGGTAACTGCCACACTACCGCACTGGTATCGGCAATGCACTATATGATAACTATGCTAAGTACTGTAATAATAAGTGCCTGTGAAATTGTTGATGCAATATGATTAGCTAATATCAACGCCAGCCATATTATGAATCGGGGTTAATCCTAAATAAAAAAAAATTATAATTAATAATTTCACAATTGTGGCAACTGAAAAGCCCCAAATGCGTCTTTTAAAAATGCTGTATTCGTATGCATTAAGCGATCCTAATTTCTCAATATTTACTTACAATCTAAAACCCTCAAATATTTTCTTTTTATTATAATATATAAAAATAATATAAATTTTACTGAACTATATGCCTTTGATTGAAAATTTTTTTTTCACGACATATTCTCTGACTGCTAAATTATAAATTTTTTAGAATAGAAATTAACTCTATGGATGTGACTCTAGATATTGGTTGGTCATGACATTTATGTGCGGATGTGAGGCACATAACACATACTCTTTGAAAACTTTGATTCGACTGATTAGACGTGTACCAATAGAATTTTGGGTTAATTTTGAAATTTGTTGATCAAAACTCTCTTTGACTGATCAAAATTAACTATATCTATAGTCAAAGTCAATCCATTCCATCCATAATTTGCCATTAAGAAACAAAGCTGTGAATCAACAAGCGAAACTACAAAATAGTCCAGTAGAAATTGTTTGGCAAAACTTCCAGAATGAGATTCAGCTGGATAGGTTGCGGCAAAAAAGAAATAGATTGAGAGTACGTGTTGTAGATTTGGAAGAACAGTAAAGAAATGTTATCATTTTCTCAATGGACCTTTAAAAAAGTATGTGACTTTTACAAGATCGATGAAGAAGAGAATCCTCTATTATCGACATTTCCTCTTCTTATACAGGATTAAGTGATAAGCAACATAAGGTTATTCCTATCATGGATGTATCATATCTCAGGTCCAAATGGGCATGGAGTTGTAGAAGTTAAGGCTAAGGACTTTTTGCAAGGCATTGCACAAAACATTGTGCAATGCGAATCAATATTGTTGAAAGGTAGAAACAATTTTTTCAAAATCATTATTGATTCTGAAAATGGAAATCCAACTTCAAGCTATCAACGTCATTGGTTGTTGTTTATGGTGGGGACGATATAGAAGATAGGGTAGGGAAAGTAATTAGAACAATATTATGGTTAATTAATAATAATGAAATTTAGATTAAATTTAAAATAGAATTAAATTATGTATGAATTTTTTATTTGCAAGCTTAATTAACGATTTTGAATAGATTATTCAAATAATTGAACAAAATGGAATAGGTGAGGTATTACGTAGTTGATAAATTCATGAATAGCTTATGTTTTAATAGTAAAAAAATTCATAACCGAATAGTTATAGCCATCTACTGTATTTGGAATTTTATATCTTCTCACATTTTTAAGTAAAGAATAGGTAATTATGAATTAGATTTATGATTCACACACTCTTATTAATTTAGTATGCCAATTAAATGAAAAAGCAAACGTTATAAATATTAAATAATAGAATATAAAGCCATGTAAAGTTAATTTTCGGGTTGCATTGCCGCCGACCAATTTTTTCAATTTATCAAAAAGAATATTTTTTAAAGTCCCAATGTCAATTATTCTATTTTTGTTATTTATTATTATTTCATAAATTAATCCGGTGTTACTCGATGGAGGCCTTAATATCCGATAGAACTGATAGAAAAAATCTGACCGCTGACTATTTTTGATTTCATGCTAAGCTAAACGAAATGTTAACTTCGCATAGCCTTAGCTATGAATATGAGTCTACTAATTTACAGTATATTAATAAAAATAAAAAATCCACCTGCCAACCGGGATTTTGAAACACCAATGAGAATACACTTTATTTAAAATCGAACTGCATTCAAATCTCTATACTTATTAAATATAAATGTGTGTCTATCGATAATTGCATTACTTTTAACTAACGTAAATATAAAATTTTTATTGACTTTTTTAAGTTTGCAATTGTTTCTCCAAGTCTTCTAAACATTCGATAAATTTTTTCATACTTGCATTGTTTGGATCAATTTCATATGATTTAATAAAATTTCTTCTCAATTTCTAAATATTTGCGAAAATCTTAATCGATTCTTTATATTTATGCCAGGGATTGGAACTGCCTAAAATTTCCTTAACCGCTTAATCATTTAACCATATTCACCATCTAATAAAATTTCTTGGCCAATGATCAACCCGACACTGTAAATTTTTTTTTATGCAGTTAAACGGTTCCAATCCTTAATTTACGCTTCGATTGATAAGTTTTCAAACGAAGTTCTAATGCAATCATATTATTTAGTTCAATATCTCTCAATTTATCAAATCTACAAGTGAT